TAAAAAAAAATTTTTTGCATGTACTTCTTGCTGGTAGATAGAGTATCAAAACCTGTAAGGTAACCTCGAACCATCACGTTTTTCTTATAGCTACCGAAAAACGCGTAAAAACTTCATCTCGTCTTAACGTGTCATATCTTCAGGTTCCACGTTTCCTTAATTTCTTTGTTATGTTTCTGCGAAATTCTGACTCACAAATTTGCGATAATATCTTTGGACAATGTTAACACCAAATAAGCAACGCTATTTGCCAATGATTCATTGACAAATAGCAAAAACTTAAACCAGGGCTAAATATCTTACCAATTATCTGATTGCAGATAATTGGTAAGATATTTAGTTGACATTGAATGCTAATTATGTCTTGAAAGAACTCGGCTTACAGTCCTTGTTTAAAATTTGTATTATCCGAGTGTTCTTTAATTTTCAATTTACTTATTTTTATTATTATATTGCAAATAAATAAACAAGTTTATGCAAGCTTGTATGCAACTATTAGGTTAAAAATAAATTGAGACAAATATATCTTCACTTCATAGGTAAGCAAATTACACTTTTAAATCGTCACTCATTTAACACTACTGCTGACTCATAAGGCAGATGCACCTGAAAATAATGAGTGAGAAATCATAGGGATTGCACTTCCTAAATAGACCTCATTTTTTATGTGTCGGGATGAACAAGTCGTGCAAGAGGTGGCGTGTCGCTTACGCCTGTCCATAACAGTTGCATAGCCGTTCAGAGCTTTAAATCGCAAAAGTCGGAAAGGCAATACCACAGCGCCCGTCATCCTGAGACATTTGTTGTAAAGTCCTATGTGCCTGTAATTTCACCAGCACCCTTAGGCTGATTACGGCACCGAGGCGGCGGCGTTTTTTGGTGCTACGACGCCGCAAGGGTTACCGCGTCATGTCGCAGCACCAGCGGTGCCAATGTGGCCCATACGGATTCATCTACTAAAATCGTACATTGATAGGGCATTGAGGCAACTACGAAAAGTAACGCCGCCGCTGTGAGCGTGTACGAAAGTGTGTATACAAATGCAAGGGCGGCGGTGCCCCTGCTGTTGTTACGGTACCAAGTGTAATTAGTCTTACCGCTCAAAACCGAAACACTCACATTACGGCTAGGCGGCAGTAATAGCTAAGGTGGCAGTACTTCCGTGACGAACTCTTTCACAACGAGCTCCACTGTTATTAAACCAACTAACATTAAAACATTCAAATGTCATAGTTACAAACAATCTGAAAGAGCTAAACGGATCACAAAATGATTACTATTGTGGATCCAAGTTCTTTATTGTAGAAATAAGTGCGCATTTGATCTCGATCTCACATGGAAAGTGACGCTGAGGTGGGCGATGGAGCATACACACCCTTATAATGCTTTGAAAAGACTCAAGTTATAGCGTTCAGGGTAGAAATCTGCAGGCAGGGAATTCCACTTCATTGCTGTACCTTTGTTACATTATTGGTTATTAATGCTGAACAGATAAAAATGGACTTTATTGCCTAACATCACTCAAATAATCGTTTTGGTAAGTTTTGGAAAACGACTAATAAATTAAATCCGAAGCTAAGCCTCCCAGTAAGCGCAGGTGGTGCACATGAGCCGGCTGACATAGCCAATGCGTTTCGGCGCCAGTTCAAGGTACAGTCACCACTTGCGACGGCGCCGCAGGTAATTGACGCTGAGGCTGGAAGACCGATGGGAGACATCTTAGAATTACTTTTAGAATTGCCACCAAACAAGTTGCGAGTGTTATTAGATCAATGGTCAGAGGGAAGTCTCCTTGTCACGACTGTCTTAGTATTGAACACCTAAAGTGTACCTTAGTAGTGGTTCCATTCAAATTTGTTAGAAAATATTCTACCCTTAGAGGTGGCAAATTAGGGGATGAATCCGGTTTATTGAATTTCACCCATTTTCCGTTAACCGATTTTAATAAAACTTGGCAAATAGATGTATAATTTCACAAACTTCAGGTCGGTATTTTTTTATAAAAAGGTATAATTATTCTAGCTTAAGTTTGAAAGCCTTACATCCTTATAATACGAAAATGTGAACAAGATACGTAAGCCTCTGACAAATTTGCACGTATCACAGAACGGTATCAAAACTGGAAGGCAGTATTTTTACGAGGCAGCTGCGAACTGGCCTGGCTTGACTGGACTGACGTGTAGTCTGACATAATCCGGCCTTCTACACACATGGAGGTAAGTAATTGTGTTAGCGAGTTTTTGAACGCGCCTTGACCTTAGCCAGGTTTGAATGCGTATGTCTGAGATGTAAATCAGATCACAATAGTCTTATTATTAAATTGTCGATAACTTATCTTTAAATACACGTTTGGTAGATTGTTACGACTCGCAAAGATCATGCAAACTTTAGCACAATTTGTGTACTTTTTTAAAATATATATTTTACGGGAAACTATCTCCCGCCAAACTGGAAACAGTTTGTTAGTGAGCACGCTCTTATACAATTATAAATCTACTTAATAATTAACTAGTTACTTTTTAGTGGCAGTAGAGCTCCTTCTGAAAGAGTTCGTCCAGGGAAGTATTGCCATCTTATCAATTTCTGCATATTACGTACCTACAACGTAACAATGTATTTATTATCACGCCTCCTCTAAATGAGATAACCATAGTTACACATCTATAAAACTCGTGTTAATAAACAGCTCCTAAATATGGTATTAGATAGATAGAAAATTGTTTATTGTTAGCATACATGCAGGGTAACAATTGGCGGTCTTATCGCTTACAGCGATTTCTTCCAGACTACCTTAGGATGGACAGAGACTAAACATGAATAAAAGCGAGATACTGAGATATCACTGCTTTTTATGATCAAACAAGTCGTGTGCCACGTAGTAAGCGACATGCGTACAAGGGATGTACATTACTATTCGTTTTTTGGGAAGATCGATTCAATAAGCGATTTTTGTATCAATTCATTTCAATATGATTTTTAAATAAATCGATTCAACATTAAGGCGAATCGAATCGTCTTGATCGTATTCGTAATTTAAACAAAACAGTCTCTTTCTGAACTCCTTTTGAATCGTAAGGTTAATACTATTTTATATTGGTCTGCAAGAAAAGCAGTTTAGCAACATCTAAGCACAATAAGTCTACAATATTATCGATACTACTGTGCCATCTGAACGTCTTTTATCGCTGGCTAGTTAATATTACTCTAAATGAAAGTCGTAACCGACTAAAGCCACAAAAGCTGTCAATATTATTAAAATTTTATCGAAATTAATTTTGAAACGATTTTATGAGATCAATTGAAGAGATCGATCCGATCTGTGGATCGATTCAGAGGCATATGACGGTACGACAAATCGTGCGCCTGATGACAAGCTACGATCCAGAAAATCGACTCAAAGCAAAAACATCGTGCATCTCTAATGCGTACCCATAACAATTATAGGCCACTCAAAGATTTCAATCACAAAGATCTAATATGGTCATTGCCACTGCACCTGTCACCTTGAGATATAAAATTGAAAAATCCCATGTGTCTGTACTTTCACCAGAACCCTTACCCTTTATAACGGGAACGCCATAATGCTCTAGCTTGGCAACAGAAATAGGTAAGGTACCTAGCAGTACTTCCCTGGATTATCCTTTCACAAGGACTTCTACTGCTACTAAATAATAAATGAGAAATCCATAATGTAGTGCCGTTGTACTAAAATAAGTTTGTAATATTAAACGAATATATTATAATTATTAATACAAAGATCGAACATAACAAAAAATCCGTCGATCTCATAGGACTCCAACCTGCATCTGTGCCAAACCAGGGCCACCGCTCTACCAAATGGCTCATTAGAATTGTTGTTTGTGTTCGATCTTTATATTAATAATAAAAAAATGTATATCGTCATGACATTCAATAAAATCACGGATATATTAATTCGAACCTAAAATCCTGTAAAATTTTCTTGTTTCTTTCACGTGGGACTTTTTTTACCTTTTTTCAATTGATGGAACAGTTTTAGAAGCAGCACAGTTCCGTGTGAAACAATTCGTCCAGGGAAGTACTGCCACCGTACCTATTTTTGCCGCCAAGCAGTAATGTGAGCATTACTGCGTTCCGATTTGGTGCTGGTGAAATTACAGGCACGTGGGACTTGTCAACATATGTCTCAGGGTGACGACAGGCGCAGTGGCAGTGCCGTTATGGACAGACGTGTAACTTGTCATCGGGCGCACGATTTGTCGTCCCGTCATTTAATATTATTAAATAAAAAAAAATCCTGTAAAATGTTCTTTCCTTCATTTTTTCAGTAAATCTAAACGGACGTTCTCATACTTCTATTATTAAGATTATTAACTGGAGAAGTCAATTTAAACTAACCACCATTTATTATTATTTACAAGAACCAATTCCGTCCAATAATCACCGTATTGGATCAGTAAGGTTTCTCAAGCGAGCAGTGAAAGGTGCAAGGCCAGCGGTGCGCGTGCGCACAATGGCAGAGAGCGCCGGAAAGAGCCTCCATTCAAATGCATCCTTCTTGAGAATGATCCAGATTCAATCTAATTTGAATAATTAAAGCTTTGCTGTGTTGTGTGATTGCCTGTTTTCAAACCCTTGCTGCTTCTATAATCACACTTCCTAGTTTAGTTATTCTCAATGTGTCATGTCATCTAAGACAGTCTAGCGTTTAAAGCGCAGTCCTATAAATTTCAAAATCCTTTACAACGGTTTTCTAGATGTTTTCTGGTCTGGTTTTAAAAAAAAATATCAAACGGATTTTCATAAAAAACATTTTTTAGTTACTTAAAAATTTTATTGGGTCCAGTCTAGACTCGTCATGTAACTCCCGCTTTAGATGTAGTGAGTTTCACCAAAAGGATAGGCCAAAAAAACAGCTTAAGTTGTAAATTAACTACGGTTTTTACTGTTCCCTTCCCTAACCTTGGCAGTTAAAATATCTACAACACTTAAGTAAGTACACAAAAAGTAAGAAACATTACCTCTTTTACGTAAAGATCTCTAAGAAATCCCTTAATGTAAGTACCTGAAAACAAAAATAAATAATTAGACCATTTAGTTACGCGTTAATGATACTATGATTACTAAGTACATATATAGAAACGCCCTTGGAAGCGAAAGTGGAACAAATTGGGCACAAATTATATGGAATTAGGACGAGAGGTGGCGTGAAGGGTATTTGAAACTGGTCATCCGAGAACTGTCAAGGTTTTGTACAAGTGATTATTTTATTTTAATATTACTTGTGAGAAAAGAATCCTGTGGGATGACTTCCACTGGTCAGTCTTTTATTTAAATTACTAGAGAACATTTACGTTAACATGTTTGAACAAATCGGCAGTTATTCAGTTTGCAGGTATTCCTTTGTACTTTGTGTTATTCCTTTGTTGTTGTTTGTTATTTCTTAATTCTGTGAGTACTAGAGCAATGGAATTCGCTTTAGGGCATTCCCATCTAGACTAGAACCAATTTAGAAAAGTTTATTTCACAAATTAGTCCTACTGGGAAGCGAACCCGGGTCTTCCGTATCCGGTGCACACAGTCCAAATCGCTGGAGCTCAGCTCCTGAGGTCGTCAGAATATTTCTACTTTTACGATTAACTTCGAATAAATACGCATGAGATGTATGCATATAGCGAAATGTACAGGAAATGTCTATTAAAAAACAACTCGTGTTACAAAAGTTTTATTCGATAGAATGTTATAACATTCAATAAACTTTTATGGAGTTTGTTTAATTATAATTTCGCTACATGTACTCACACATTAATACCCGCAACTGTAGCTATCAAACAAAAATATTTAAATTAAAATCAATTTATTGAAAAAATCCACCAGAGATGTGCGATGTAACGAAGCAGTGTGCGAGGAAAAAATCCACCAATAGGATTAAATCATTTTCCTAGCCTTATTTAGCACAGCTCCGGTGGAAAAAAGTTAGCGGAAAAAATTTTTGCGTGAGATGTGTGCGAGGGATGCGGGCGAGGAATGTGTGCAAAACGGTATAGGAAACTAGAGCTACCGAAAATATGACACTTACTAACAGTGACATGTCCGTGGCCGCGTAGAGATCTTCCCTCGTACAGGTATTAGTAAATTGTTAAATAATATACTTTTTAATACAGAATGTAAAAACCGAGTATATTTTTATTTCAAATTAAGATAAGAAATCCTTAGAAGTACTCCGCAACAGTTCACATCAACACGACGACTTATAAATAAGTACAAATTTGTCTTTTTTTACATAATATCAAGTGACGGGATGAACAAGTAGTGCGCCTAGTGGTAAGCGACACGTCTATCCATAAAAGTTGCAGTGGCACTCAGAGCTTTAAATCACAAAGATCTTAGGGGCACTGCCACTGCGCCCGTTACCTTGAGACATAAGTTGACAAGTTGACAAGAAAAGGCGAAAGCGCCATTTTGAAAAAAAATTTCAGCGGAGCATGTTTTACTTGTAGTTTTTGACAACTGTTTTAAAATATGTACATATTGTTTTAAATTAAATCTTAAAAAAGTTTGCTCAATTAAAACCAAAACTGAATTTTAAAACCAAAACTGAATTTTAAAACAGATCGTAAATATTTAAAAACAGTAGAATAAACCTGTTCACCTGAAAAAATTTTCAAAATGGCGTTTTTGGCGCCCTTTTTACAAAACACCGACGAGTGTTAATAGCTCAATTTCGCTAAAAAGTCGATTACGTTGATAAGAATAACTACATACACGTATATAATCAACAGATATGTTGATTGGTGGGTTGCAATTTATATCACGTAATAACTTAATAACAACAAGTCATACAGCCCTAGGTACGAAATTAGAAAACGTTGATATACGAGCACTTAATAATATTTTCCAATTGAAATGTGACATTGAAAAGTGAAACCGCAATTTGTAAAGTATCCGTAGATATTACAATTCATTAAAATCATTGCAAACTAGTAACTGGACTTCGAAACAGCATATGTTGTGTTAAACAGTAACTCTACATACTTACAATATCAAATTAGAAATCATTATAAACTTTTTATTGCAAGTTTAAATAACAATGTTTTTTTTAATAATATTTTAGTAGTAGTAGAGCTCCTTGTGAAAGGGTTCGTCTGAGGGAATACTGCCGCTGCACATATTTCTGTCGCCATGCGGTAATGTGAGCAGTGTTGTGTTGATTGTGTTGACGCTGGTGAAATTACAGGTGCATGGAACTTGTCAACGTATGTCTTAGTGTGCCTCTCACATCTTTGCGATTGAAATCTCTGAGTGTACGATTTTTTGCTTTGAATCGATTTTCTGGATCGTAATGGATCATATGCCTCTGAATCGATCCACAGATCGGATCGATCTTTTCAATCATTCAATCAAAATTTATTTCGAAAACATTTAATAATTTTGACAGCTTATGTGACTTCAGTCGGTTGCGACTTTCATTTAGAGTAATATTACCTAGCCAGGGAGAAACGACGTTTAGATGGCACAGAAGTGTAGATTTATTGTACTAAGATGTTCCTAAACTGCTTTTCTTGCAGACCAATATAAAATAGTATTAACCTTATGATTCAAAAGGGGTTCAGAAAGAGACTGTTTTGTTTAAATTATGAATACGATCAAGACGATTCCATTCGCCTTAATATTGAATCGATTTACTTAAAAAACGCATTGAAATAAATCATTACAAAAAATCGCTTATCGTATACACTTGAATCGATCTTCCCAAAAATCGAATAGTAAATGTGCATCTCTTGTATAAGTGGTACTGCAACTGCTATGGACAGGCATGTCGCTTACCAATTATTGGTCCATACTTACCACTAAGCGCGCGACTTCTTCATCCCGTCAGTTAATATCATAAAAAATAATTGAAATGTAATATAGATAAAATTAACCGATTTACTATTTCACTTTAATATTTAACACACCTGCCCCCGTAGCATGGCTACGTATGATAGTCGCGACGCGCGCGATAAAATTGGAATAAGCGCGCGCTATTGGATGTCTCAATCAGATCTAATTTAGATAGCCAATTTTATGGCGCGCGTCGCGACTATCATGCGTAGCCATGCTACGAGGGCTGTTTTATAATATGGAAGAGCAGGGCTCTTAACACAGTGAATTTATTTAAAAGGAGTGCCGAAACCAGAATATTGTAAAATAAGCAGGTGTAACTTGTAATATATGTAATTTTTTAATTGTGTACTCTTCTATAGTTAAACAAATGTAAAACTGAAGGCCAATACAAACAATTTGGATATGTAATAATGTCTTTGAACTATAATTTGTAGACTAACAAGGTCTCGATCGCACAGGCGTTGGATTTAAGGTCATTACACCCATGATTTGGCATAATTTACCCATTATCGGCGGAACTACATATTTACGATTCAGTAGCGAAAAATAAGAGAAAAACATTGTCCTTGTCAAATCACATGATTTTTTTTCTGATTAGGAGTGTTTTTTGTAACCTATATTTATAATCATGATACGCGTAGTTTTAACTGAGTTAAATGAAAATTTTTACGACAGTCACATGCGAAACTCCAATGAAGCATCCCGCTCTACCTAGTTTATGTGTTACTATTATTATTATAGACTACAATGTGTGAGTTTCGAAGTGTCGCACACAATGAAACATGGGCCCCGATAAAATACATTTACGACATGCATTGTGTACCACTTGGTATTTCATAGTTTCATGTGTGGTATTCTAATTTTAGCCCAGGAATCTTTGTAGTTCAAATTCTGTAGGACCCACGTAACAATCGCGTACAATCTTTGACAACTAAGAAAAGCGATAGACTGTAACTTAGATGGAAATAGATATATTGTATAATAATATATAATATAGTAAACAAGAATTGTTAACTTATTGGGGTTAAAAAAAACATTAATTTTGTTGGCGCATTATAATATTTATGTATTTTTAGGCGCGAATTTTAAATCACAATTTTTAGTTACATTTTCAGCCCATTTTTTGTTTTTAGAGAATAGTATTGTAATCAGCTGATCGTTAAATTTCAATGACTGTTTTTTTTAAATAACGCACATACTCATAGCCCCCCACTAGGAAAACACTGCGTCGCGGGTGCCATTGACACACACATAGAACACCACAAATTACACCCCAACTCACTTTTTTATTTTTGAAAATTTTTATTCGATTTATCGCGAGAATCGGTTAATTTAGTTACCAATTTGTGTGGTGCACAGCCCTAGTTATGCTCTGCGATGACAGGTGTCAAAACGACCCTGTTTCATTGTGTCAACTATTAGTAGGAGGTATTGAACTGAAAATGTCCTGTATTGTAACATTTGATGTGTACCGCTTCTACATTGGTTTACCTTCTTCAAATGTCCACCCTTTGCCACTTATCTACACGGAACCTTTTGGTTTTTTATAGTTAACGGTTATATTATAATTCTGAGTTGACTTAAAATTTGAAAAAACAGGAGATAACATTGTTTTTTTTCCTTACACTTCATTATGCCAATGTAACAATTTTCTATGGTACCTAATTTGTTTTTAACTACACATTCCCTTTTGCAGTCAAGTCTGTCAACTCTTATGTAACTTTTAAAATGTCTCTTTGTGTAACATACTTTACCTATGTAATTGAAATACTCAAAACACGCAATCGAAAGCAACAAAAGCACGAAAAAAATCGTAAACAAAATTAAATAAAATGAATGCTTATTACAGAGATTGGCGAGCAAAGTGCACTGTTTCACTTGATACCAGTAATTTGGCGGCAACAGTTGAACTTCTACCTTCGCCCTCGTCATGATGAGAACGTTCCTAAGTCGTGGTCGTGACCGCACCGTTCCACTTTTTCTCGTCTCACGTAACTCACCTGACTAAACATTTTCTATTTTAGGAAGTCAGGTTTGTAAATGTTTTTGGTTTTTGTTTTTCTTTCATGTTTATCAATTTACAGAAAAGCTTTTTTGGTCCTTATTGAATAAACCACTTAACGGCGATCTTGAATAAACTTGGATAAGTTTATTAGGGTATGTTTGTTTTATATAGGC